ATTATGTCAATAAATCTTGGCCAATTGCCGCAACCAGAGATCTTGTGCATGCCACCACCAAATCCATATGGGATGATGTTGCCACTCCAAATATGAAGAAAAAAACTCCTTTTACTGGGGCCTTGGCCAATTTTCTTATCAATAAAAAAGTTTTCTATTTTTTCTTACTCTGCCAAAGGAAATTCCAATTGCCATATTGATGGATTGCTTTGGAGCGACATATACAGACAGAGAGAGAGAGAGAGAGGATACCATAGTTGGATCTATGGACAGTGGCCCCACCATTTATGGCCGTCGCCAAAGATGATTATGGTCATGACAACTTAATGATGAGGCGCGCTACTCTTCATGGGAACCCGATACCCAGACCCGAACCCTAGCCTCTGGAAGCCTCTCAAGTCGGTGGCCAAAACCGACAAAAAAAAAATCAACCAAAAGCTGGCAAAAATTTGCATAAAAATCAACGCTGGCCCGACCCGTTGCCGTTCTCTGCCATGTGACATTAACAAGCCACAAAAGGAAGCAGCAGCCAGCCACTGTGATACGACAAAATTTTAATTAAAAGTTTAGTGGAGCGAGAGACACACGCCAACGACAGCAACCAGCAACAGCAACAACAGGGGCAACAACAACAGTGGCAACACCAGATCTTCTGGGGGCAATGCAACCGCAAAAAGGTTGCTGAGGTAGAATGCCGTGCCAGGCCGGGGCCGTGCAACAAGTGTCAGGCAGGCAACATGGCTAACAAGCGTCAACGTCGCCGTCGCCGCTCTTGCCTGTTGCTTGTTGCTGTTTTGATACCCTGTGCCAGTGGGGTCAGTATGTAGCACAGGCGAGCACAGGAGCGAAGTGCTGGATTAATTACTCGAAGCAATGTCCAGCTGGGGAACTTTAATATCAAACAGAATTCGATATGCAACTTCTGTAAAAACGTTTCAAGTAAAAGGTTATTAAATTATTATATTTTATATTTATATTTTTTAATTTATTATATTTTCCTTTATTTGTAAAACTATTTCTCCATTCAGTATTTAAAAAAAAAAACCAAATTTAAGGTAGGTATCACATAGTCGCAATATCGAATGCCAAAGGCATCCTTACTTGTTTTGCTGTTGTTTTTGTCGCAAACACACGCAACTTAAAAGAAAAAAAAAGAAACACCACAACTCAAAATAAAAAAGAATTACGAGAAAAAAAGCGCTACAACAACATGGAATGGACGAGGTGTTAAGGTAAATATGCAAGCGCTTTACAAAAAAATTGTACATGCCGCTGCAATAATTGAAAAATCATGTTGCCACACAAATAAACAAAATGTTGCAGCGCGCCCAAGCAACATGTTGCTACACGATTATGTGCTTAGCCCCTCCCACTGGCAGGAGGGAAGGTCAAACACTGAAAAACATGGAAAAAAGATCTCTCACTGGCTGCACTTTACAAAAAATGTTCGGAATCTGACAGGATTGTTGAAAACGGATGCAAATGAAAATCATAAAAGGCCACTTCTCCATTGGGAATTTTAAATTAAAAGAGCGAAGAACTGGGAATGGGAATTGTATTGTAAAAAGGTTAAGTGGGTTGTTATAGGGAAAACAAAGAATGATCTAGGAATCCTAGATATGTATTGCTCATTATCGAATTACAAAGTAAATATTCTGCAACTTGAATGTTCAGTACACCTCTCCTTTATGGTTGAGAAATTCTATTAGCTAGAGATCTAACATAAACGAATCCGATGGTTACATATTTATTCTTATTATTTTAATTATTATCAATTTATTATTTTATTATCTCAATAAAAGAAAAATCTGATTATTTTAAATCAGATAAATCCTTAATTTACAAAATCAACCCATTAATTAAACCATCTTAAATCTCAATCAATAAAGTAGCTCTAATTTATATTACTTATTTATAAGTCAAAGAAAGAGATTATCGCTTAATGGCGTTAGCTTTCGGGTTTTCTTTTAAAATGAGTTAGGAAGTATAAAAGAATACTGCTTCCGATAAGTACTGTAATAATTTCTCATTGTTATTATTATTTTTTATTTATTTTTTCTCACCCTTCCTTTAAGAATTCCTCGAATAATTTGCTACATTTTCTTATTAGTCCTCGCAGAATTAAGTAATCCTTCATCTCAGCCTCGCCCTTTGGTATCCCCACCGTCTTTGTTATTTTAGCGATTTCCCCAAGCGAATTGCACAGATGTGCATCAACAATATTGCTCTGTTTTGCCTCAGATTCAGATATACAGTTTCAGATGGGAGGAGGGAGAGCTTTGGGCCCTACCAGAATGGCAAACCGCAAATCGACACGTACATAAATAAATAAAAATGCGTATGTTTGTATATTCACACCGCAGCGGAAGCTGTAACTGCAACAGCAACAGTGGAAACAGTGGCAACAGTGGCAACAGGGGCAGCATCAACAGCCGTGCAACAAACAGTTGAAACAACAAACATTGAATGCCGCCACCGCAGTTTGTTGTGGCTGCAATGCCGCTGCAATTGCCACTGATCGCGTCGATTCAATTAGTAATTCTAAAAAGCGGCAAGCGACGTCTTTTGCATCTTAATGAGTATTGTTTGCTGTTGCTGTTGCTCCTGTCCCTGCTCCTGCTGCTGCTACTGGTACTGCTGTTCCTGCCGCACAGCACATTTCGTGTTTGTTGTTGCAATAACATTTGTTCATAACAACAAGAAACAGAGACAGGCCTTGCTTTTCAGGGCAAGTTTTTCCAACTGCCGGCACTGCACTTTTCATGCCCAAATGCAGTTGCTGCTGCTGCTGCTGCACTGCTGCTGTGATTGTTGCTGCTGCTGCTGCTGCGTCTGTTCCATGAAGCACATTGACTACTATTTTTGTCATTGCCGTCGCCAATGTCCACGCACTCGTCGGGCAACATGTTTGCGCGTTCGTCTCCGGCTCCAGGCCTTTTCCACAGAAAATGTAATTACAGTGATTTAATTTTGATACCCCTTTATGCAGCGAGTATCAGAGTATCAGTTATACAGGAGTTGTCCATCCAATTTTTGGCCTAGAATATTTAGCGATGTTTTTTAATTTGCACCTTGAAAGCTAAGCATAAAGGAATGTTTCCTTTCACTTATGGCAAATTGGGAAATGAAAAGGCAGCCTGTGGCAGCCAGAATATTTCAGATACGCATCTGCTTTATTTTTCAGAAATTCTATTAGCTAGAGATCTAACAAAAACAAATCCAATGGTTACATATTTATTATTATTATTTTAAATTCGTTTCCTTCGAACCTAATTGTAATTTTTCGAGAGTTTACTCTCGTTTGATACAAACAAAATAATTTACACTGACTACACGGTACACCAGGTATCACACATTTGTTAGACTCCTCTGTTTTTCATACTCGTTTTATTTTTTTGTTCTGCAACATTTACTTCTATTGCAACTGCTTCTGAGACTTTGCTGACTGCTGCTCTTGCTGCTGCCATTTCTGTACGCGCATTACAAACTTGGCTCAAATTAATTCTTCAAGCCCAAATGCGCCATCTTACTCGGGCCGAAGCTAATCAAACTTTAATCAATGCGGCATTTTGATGCGACATTGCTGCTAGCTGCTTTTTATGCTCTTTCCTTTGGTTTCCTTTTTTTTTTTTTTTGTTGTTTGTAGCCAGTTCCATAGTTGGAACGATGGGAAAATATGCGGCATTGACTGGGAGGAAATCTCGGCAAGGCAAAGCCAAGAAATTGTTATTAATCTGGAATGGTCATTTACTCGTACTCCTATAAAGGAAATTATATGATCGAACCGCTTAGGGGAATACTGTAAATGCCTTCAATACCATTTTGATATTTGCTAAAAGCTGCAATCAATTAGATGTTGTTGGTTTTGATATGATAATTGGATGGAGCCATGGGTAGTACATTTTTTTTTATAGGTTCCTTACATTGAACTTGTGCTTGTGCAGAGTGGATTTTTTTTTATTTGGGTCATGAAAGTCTCCATTTTGAATTTTATCATTTAGATGGACAATCTTTGGAGTATTTGAATGAACACTTTACTTGTTCGAAAATACTTATACATATTGAAAATTTCTAGTATGGTTAATTTTACCGAATATTCTCTGTTTACTATTTTTTTTGGGGGCGTGTGCCCCCAACGTGTGTTGAATCGCGTGCCGCGTAATATTTAGTATATGATGTACCTATACTTACTTATTATTGTATATGATATATGGTCATTAATAGATCACACGTCAAGCCTGACTAATACCCGTGTTCCCGGTTTCTGGTTGGGCACATTCGTCGAATGGCTGTAAAAATTACCCATAAGAGAACGGACACAGCTTGTTTGCTGAATTCGAACTTGTAGCCTATTTATATAGTAAGGCATATAATTATGTCTATTTATGGTGGTCATAGATAAATCATAAATCAATGTGGAAATTATTTTACCAAACTCTTTAAATTAATTCTTTAAAAGTTTGTGTTTAAAGGGAGGCGCATACATAAGCCCACTTTTAGAGATGTCGTGAAATTGTAGGCGACTGTGATTTAATATTCCCAACAAATATTATTCTTCGTGAAGAGTATTTGCTATGCAGCTCCCTTCCATTAGTTGCGCTTCAGTAAAGACTTAAATACATATCTATTGTATTGAACTTTGGCGCTTTTTTAATCGCGTATAATTTCATACGAGTATATAAAAAAAGCTACTGAGCTGCTACGGGAGCTACTGATAACAACGCCAATGATCGACTGCTCCACACCTCGTATATAGTCTTTACAACATAATCTACGATACAGTATTTGGTGAGCAAGTAATGAAATATCCTAATGGATCCACACAAATAACATCAATAGACTTTTGTTAAATCCAAATGCTATAGTAATCCTAATCCACATGAGGATTAAATTACCCACACAACAGGCTGATAATAAAAGTAATATATACTGTACAAAACAGTTGTTGATTGTGACTATCAGCATGCGACTTGAGCTGAAAGCTGTGTACAATATTCCATGACCCAGTGGGCTGTGAAAAGCGCCGTGAAACGGATCGGCGGGAAATACTATAGCGACAAAAAGAAATCATGTTGATCGCCCTGCTGGCTACACCGCTCTTGCTCCTGGCCGTGTGGCTGCTGCTCCAGCGGCTCGATCGGACGTACTTTATCCTGTCGCTTACCAGGCGCGTGCGCACTGAGGATGGCAGTCCGCTGGAGAGCAAAGTGGCCGTAATGCCGGGCACATCGCGTTTCGGCAACAATTTGGACATTATCAACGCCACACCCTGTAATTAAAGACAGTTTCTATTCGTAGTAGTCTATAGATGCCTAATGGACTCTTCCTCTCCAGCCAGTTTGTTCAAATTTTTGCGGGCTTCTGCTGCCAAAGCTCAGGGCAGAAACTTTTTGTGGTACTTTCTGTTTGCCCCAAATTACAATGTCATCAGAGCCGAGGAGGCCGAGGAGATATTCCAGAGCACCAAACTGATCACAAAGAATGTGATCTACGATCTGTTGAGACCTTTTCTGGGAGATGGTCTGCTCATAAGCACAGGTTTGTGTTGGCATAATATCTGAAATCAAATCAGTCAATTTTTAACCCCCCTCGATATATATTCAACAGATCAGAAATGGCACGCCAGACGCAAGGCTCTGACTCCTGCCTTTCATTTCAATGTTTTGCAGTCCTTTCTGGTCATCTTCAAGTGAGTACTTAGCCAATGGGAATGACTATGTTGTGGCTAATCTTTGATTTGTGATAGAGAGGAATGCAATAAGCTGATCAAAGTGCTAGACAAAAAGTTGGATGGAGAACTTGACCTTAACCAGGTCATTCCACAATTTACACTGAATAGTATTTGCGGTAAGTCGCTGGCTAATTGCAGCTATTTAATGCTGTAAAGTTCAAACGCCAATCGATCTTTTGATCTTCAATAAAAGTGGCGACACCAATTATTAATATGCATATCCCCCTTCTCGTCTTAGAGACCGCTCTGGGCGTCAAGCTGGATGACATGTCGGAGGGCAAACAATATCGCAGAGCCATCCATGCCATTGAAGAAGTCCTCATACAACGCGTCTGCAATCCGCTCATGTACTACAACTGGTACTTTTACTTGATCGGCGACTATCGGAAGCAGCTGCAGAACCTGCGGATAGTCCACGACTTCTCCAGTCGCATCATCGAGCGCAAGCGCCAGCAGTTTAAGCGCAAGCAGCTCGGCGTCGTGGATGACTTTGGCAAGAAGCAGCGGTACGCCATGCTGGACACCCTCCTGGCGGCCGAGGCGGATGGGCAGATCGATCATCAGGGCATATGCGATGAGGTGAACACCTTCATGTTCGAGGGATACGACACCACCTCCACGTGCCTCATCTTCACTCTGCTGATGCTGGCCCTGCACGAAGAGGTGCAGGAGAAATGCCTGGAGGAGGTGTCAAGTCTACCCGAGGACACGGATTCCATCAGTGTGTTTCAGTTCAATGAGCTGGTGTACCTGGAGTGTGCGATCAAGGAGTCCCTGCGCATGTTTCCCTCCGTTCCCTTCATTGGTCGCCAATGTATGGAGGAGTGTGTCGTGAATGGACTGGTCATGCCAAAGGATACACTAATCAGCATCCACATCTATGACATCATGAGGGATCCGCGCCACTTTCCAAACCCAAATGAGTACCAGCCTGAGCGATTCCTACCCGAGAACACAGTGGATCGTCATCCCTTTGCTTTTGTGCCCTTCAGTGCCGGCCAGAGAAACTGCATTGGACAGAAGTTTGCCATTCTGGAGATCAAAGTACTCCTGGCCGCAGTTTTAAGGAACTTTAAGATCCTGCCACTCACTCGATTGCAGGATCTCACATTTGAGTATGGCATAGTGATGAGGACACAAGAGAATGTACAGGTTAGGCTGGTGCGAAGGTAGAATGTTTACAGGAATTACATACATATATGCGAAAACTTCATTGCCAAAGATGTACCAAAAATTACTTGCAGCTTAATTTATTCTGATAATAAAATGCGTTACCTGTTCATTTGCATTTTATTATATTTAAGTACGTTTATTACTTCAAAGGGGGGGGGGGGGAGGGAAAAAAGAAAAAAAAAAAAAAAAAAAAAAAAAAAAAAAAAAAAAAAAAAAAAAAAAAAAAAAAAAAAAAAAAAAAAAAAAAAATTTTTTTATTTTTTTTTTTTTTTTTTTTAAATTATATATAATAAAAAAAAAAATAAAAAAAATAATAAAAAAAAAAAAAAAAATTTTTTTTAATTCGTTGGCGGGGGGGGGGGGGGGGGGGGGGGGGGGGGGGGGGGGGGGGGGGGGGGGGGGGGGGGGGGGGGGGGGGGGGGGGGGGGGGGGGGGGGGGGGGGGGGGGGGAAAAAAAAAAAAATTTTTTTTTTAAATTGGATTTAAATTTGTAAGGGAGGGGGGAGGGGGGGGGGGGGGGGGGGGGGGGGGTTTTTGTTTTTTTTTTTTTTTTTTTTTTTTTTTATTTTTTTTTTTGTTTTTGGGGGGGGGGGGGGGGGGGGGGGGGGGGGGGGGGGGGGGGAAAGGGAAAAAAAAAGAGAAAAGAAAAAAAAAAAAGGGGAAAAAAATTTGTTTTTTTGTTGTGTTTAACGAAGGGGGGGGGGGGGGGGGAAAGGGAAGAAAGAGGGAGGGAGGGGGGGGGGGGGGGGGGGGGGGGGGGGGGGGGGGGGGGAGGAAAAGAGGGGGGGGGGGGGGGGGGGATAAGGAAAAAAAAAAAAATTTTTTTGGGGGGGGGGGTTTTTTTTTTTTTTTTTAAAACCATTTTTTTTTTTCAAAAAAAAAAAAAATCCCCTTAATTTTTTTTGAGTACGGGTATAAAAAGCTTTTTCCAGTCATTTAAAACAGAAACAATAATGACTTGATGGATTAATAGATCGCTGCGGCTACTATTTATTTTCTCCTTGAAAATCTCGACTATTTTATACCCTGCGACAAGCTATGGAATAACTCTACCCCAAATGCTCTAAAAAAAAAAACCAATAAACCCATAAATAAATAATAAATAAATAATAAACCAATGAATATAACGCGTACTAGTATGACTCTTTTTTTTTGACTCTATATCAAATCGGAATTATTGGTACCAAAAATTCACCGATTATGAAATTTCTGGGGAGCATTATTTGCCACAAAGGAGAACATTTTGGACCATACTTGTTTCACTTTAAAATTCAATATTATTGAAGGTGTCATAGGAATGATCGAAACCGATCTACCCCTCTGGTTCATTTAGATCATTGCGTATGTTAACATGTGTATTTATATACTAGGTATATTCCATAATTATTTCGCAAACACATTCGTTCAGTTTACTTAGTAATTAATCGTCAACAGCCATTTGTAGATTAGAGCTTAATCTGTGAGGGCGCCTCATTTTTCTCCGCTGTAAAAGCTACAAAAAATGTTTGAAATTCTGCTCGGTTTACCGCTGATTGTGCTCCTTGGCTGTGTCCTGTTGCGGCGTCTCAACCGCAGCTACTTCGTCCTGAGCCTATGCAAACGAATTCAAACAGAAGATGGCAGTCCGCTGGAAAGTAAAATAGCCGTCATGCCCGGCAGAACTCGGTTCGGCAATAACTTTGATCTGGTCAACTTTACGCCGTGTAAGTGGGAATAGCAGCCAGTCGTAAGGCAACTCTGAGTGTGGATATTTCCAGCTTCCGTGTTTAATTTCATGCGCGACTCATGTGCCAATGCCCGGGGACGAAATTATCTGTGGTACTTCTTCTCAATGCCCATGTACAATGTCGTTAGAGCCGAGGACGCTGAGGAGATATTCCAGAGCAACAGACTATTGACTAAAAACGTTGTTTATAGTCTGTTAGGGCCATTCCTTGGCGAAGGTCTGCTGACCAGCACAGGTGTGTGATGATGCTTCAGTTTGTTCTTTAGCCCCATTTATTAAATCCCCCTTTTTCTTTCAGATCAAAAATGGCACGCCAGACGCAAGGCTTTGACTCCCGCCTTTCATTTCAATGTTTTGCAGTCTTTTCTGACCATTTTCAAGTGAGCAATTGATTCTACAAGAGTGTTTTTCGTTGTTAACATGAATATATTACAGGGAAGAATGCCACAAGCTGGTCAAAATGCTGCATGAGAGTGTGGAGAGGGAGAGCGAGGTGCTGGTGTTGAATCAAGTCATTCCGCAGTTTACTTTGAATAATATATGCGGTAAGTGCAGAAACACATCTCATATTAACTATATCACCATGACTGGCAGACTTTGCAGTGGAAATTGCTTCACAGGGTCCAAGTTCAAATGAAAAAATTAAATAAGAGGCGCAATATTAAATGGAATTTGTACCGGCTTGCAGTAAATCAATTTCTGAATTTAACAGTATTTATAATTTAATTCATATTTAAATTCATAATTTCAACTCGTTACAGAGACCGCTCTTGGCGTCAAGCTGGATGATATGGCAGAGGGTTTCCAATACCGCGAATCGATCCATGCCATCGAAGCTGTCATCATGCAACGCATTTGCAATCCTTTTCTGTACAACAGTTTGTACTTTTATATTTACGGCGACTATCGGAAGCACATCGATAATCTGAAGATTGCCCATGACTTCTCCAGTAGCATCATCGAGAGTAGGCGGCGGGATTTCAAGCGAAAGGAGCTCGGCGTCGTGGATGATTTTGGCAAGAAGCAGCGGTACGCCATGCTGGACACCCTCCTGGCGGCCGAGGCGGATGGGCAGATCGACCATCAGGGCATATGCGATGAGGTGAACACCTTCATGTTCGAGGGATACGACACAACCTCCACGTGCCTCATCTTCACGCTGCTGATGCTGGCCCTGCACGAAGAGGTGCAGGAGAAATGCCTGGAGGAGGTGTCAAGGCTCCCCGAGGACACGGATTCCATCAGTGTCTTTCAGTTCAATGAGCTGGTGTACCTGGAGTGTGCGATCAAGGAGTCCTTGCGCATGTTTCCCTCCGTTCCCTTCATTGGTCGCCAATGTATGGAGGAGTGTGTCGTGAATGGTCTGATTATGCCAAAGGATACACAAATCAACATCCACATCTATGACATAATGAGGGATCCGCGCCACTTTCCAAACCCAAATGAGTACCAGCCTGAGCGATTCCTACCCGAGAACACAGTGGATCGTCATCCCTTTGCCTTTGTGCCCTTCAGTGCCGGCCAGAGGAACTGCATTGGACAGAAGTTTGCCATTCTGGAGATCAAAGTACTCCTGGCCGCAGTTTTAAGGAACTTTAGGATCCTGCCAGTGACTCGATTGGAGGATCTCACATTTGAGAATGGTTTAGTGTTAAGAACGAAGCAAAAGGTGAAAGTGAAATTGGTAAAACGGTTGGAATAAGAATGTTGTTTTGAATCCCATAGAATACATCAGGGGAAAGAATTATACTCTTACATACAAAATCACATTCTGAATTTCATTGATGTCGATTTTTGTATGATATTACGAAATATTTTCAATCTGTCAAGTATATCAGATAAGGATTAACACGGGAGCAAAAATCGCTATGCAAAATAATTACATGGTATTCTACATAAGCGGCATAACTCTACATTCCCAGGACAAGGCGACACCTGACGACAAATTCGTGAAACTGCTCATGTAGACTGCTGAATGTTTCTGTCACATAAACAGATTTATTTTTTATGCAGATCCGAACATTATAATATGAATATAAATTTTAGAATGTGCATTTTCTAATGGCACATTATTATTATTTTCGCTGGAATATTTTTAATCAAACATGGTGGAAAATACATGTAGAGAGTTAAACTACGTGTAGACTCTGACTTTGAGATACATGTAAGCGGAATGTAAATAATTCTCATGAAAAATAACTTGATTTATAAACAAATTAATTATGAAAAGATATCACAAAAATATATGACACAGCATATATATACGCCAATGAACGGCAATAATGTTTCAGTTTGAATGACGTCTCCAAGACTGCTTTGAGTAACATTTCCCAATCAGAAATGTACAGGAATGCCTGCCTGTTGCTGCAGGTGGACGAAGGAAAAACGCGGTCCAAAATGGCAGGCAAACAAATTTTGATTAAATGCAATCATTATAATTGCATTTAGCAACATTATGCATACACTTGGGCCTATAACAAATGTAGTTAGACACTTTTAGGACGATTTTCGGTATATCCTGGCCATTGCAACATTAATGGCGCAGCCATTCAAGTGCTGGAACTTTTTCTACAGAAAATTGTTGGCATTTATTTGTGACTTGCCAGTCGCTGTTTCAGAGTGCCTTCAGAATTCATTAATTTAATTAAGTTAATGCCATTTCACGTATCGAATAACAAAACAAACCGCAATACACACAACAGCACACACACACACACACATGGCCAAGCAAACAAGCCGTGAAAAACATGTCGTCCCTGGATTTTTCCCGCCTCCTGGGACGGTTGAATCCTATTACTTTCACTTATATGGACTTTAACTTGGGACTCACCATTTGTTAGATGCACAAAAACCACAAATACACAAGAAACAAACGAAAAACACAACATTATTTATTATTGTTATTCTTAGAGGTGTCAAACCAAAGACGGCACTATCGATAGTATCGATATTCTGCTGCTAGCCTCTACTATCGATGGTTTTGAGACTATCATGATAGTATCGAGCTACAGTCGTTGCGCTTTTGATATGTTTGGATTGGCTGCTATAAAATACGAAGACAAATTTGTAAACAAATCGACATGTGGCATCTAATTTTTGCAATGGACAAGTTCCTAAAAGGTTTCAATGGTTTTTTAATAATTATTTGAGCCCGATACTACTACGATAGTATCGATTGTTTTTTTTCGAAACATTCAACGTTGATATTCCTCGATTTTGATATTCCGTTTATTATTACTAGCTAGTTGGCCCTCTCCATCCTAAAGAAATAATTTTATCCAATAGATACATAAAATTTCTACAAGATTGGCAAGTTTTCAGAAGTCCTTTTTATTGCATTGTTTACATAAAAAGGTTCAAGCAAAAACGGTACCCTGTTAAATTTTTGAAACTTCGAAGTATTTGTTAAAATATTTTTATATTTTAACAGTTCAGCTTCGAAGTCCATTCCCTTTTGGGAAATTCGTAAAGCGAATCAACGTCAACCGCATCCAATGAGTACCAATACTCTCAAGAGGAGGTGTATCCCATATCCACATCCTACTTAATATAATATAAACATTTAATGGTAATGCGTTTTTTAAATAATTTTATATTTGGTTTTTTTTTAATATTTTGTTGATATTTTTTGTTTATACTTTTAAAAAGTAAATTTCTACTTTGATCGAAAGTATTGGGTTAAGCAGCGTTGACCACACATACATATAACATATAGTACTAATTAAATGTGTTGAATCCGAAATATGTATTACATAATTAGATCAGGGGGATTTACCCCAACAGATACAAGAACCGCGTGCGGCAGAAAAATGTTTAACAAAAATGTCGCGTTCGCAAAAGCAATGCAATCGAAGAGTATTGGCTAACTTAAATCGCATAAATACAAAAAAAATACATTCAATTGTACAGATGTATGTATAAGATAAGTGTCGTATGGTTTACAGATAGATGTACAGGTCTTTTTTCGTTACATAGTATTTATATCAATATCATAGATCATTTTGTTTTGTTTTGTTTTGTTTCATTTGCTTTGTATTGTTTTGTTTGTTTGTTTGTTTGTTCTACCAATAAAATTAACAACAATTCCGATGCATTTGGATTGGGCACGTGATAAACATTTGATAAACGTGGGGGCATAACAAATTTAAAATACTGTTCTCTTACTCTCTCTCTCTCTTCTTTTTCGTCTAATATAATTCTAATATGTAATATACGTTAACTATTTTTTCTTGCGTAGTCAATTATTAAGGTCAACATATATAGCCGATATCTATATATTGTGTATTTTTTAAACGAATACGCGCGCGTGTAAATAGTTTCTCCGTTTAGTTTAGTTTTAAGTTATTAGTCGATTATTGTGTTACAAATTGGTACATTAGTGTGTTGGAGATTGTTCCTCTTTGCGCGTGGGTGAGTTGAGTTTAGTTTTCTTGTTTTGTTTTGTTTTGTTTTTGTTTTGTATCGATGCTGTGCCTCTTTCGTGTCGAACAACATTCATTTACAAACGACAATGCACACAAAAAACAGTTACTAAATTAAGTCTATTTATGTATATATGTATAACATTCATAACGATACGCTGCATGGGTGCATGAGTTCAAGTTCGATGTCTCTCTATTGATTGATTAATTGGTTTTTGTTTTGTCTTCTGGTTTCGACTAAGGCATGCCTGGTAGTCCGCCCAGGGCGGCACCAACTAAACGCTGCTGCTGCTGTTGTTGCTGCTGCTGCTGCTGTTGGTGTATTAGATTGACGCGCGCACGCTGCTGCTCCAAGCGCTGCACGGTGGCGGTCAGATGCGAATTCTCCACATACAGATCCTTGACAAGAATGTCGGCATTTTGCAGACGTTGCGTCTGATCGGCCAGCATAACGCCCTGCGCCTCGATGCGGCCATGCAAATCGTTGAGCTCCACTTGATGCTGACGCCAGGATTCTAAATGCCAAACAAACAACCCAGAGAGAAAGCGAATTAATATTGCAATTGTGGGAATGCCATAAGACTGAGCGTCGGCACTCACGCTGCATCAGGGACTCGGTATATTGCTGCTGCTGCTTGATTACATTCTGCAGATGGCGATTTCGCAGCTCCAGTTGGTTCAGTCGCTGCTGAAGCGTTGGATGCGTAGTTCGCTGCAATTATTTCAACATTTAATCATCAAGCTAATTCTTTACTTAACCGCTCAAATGTCTCACCGCATAGGCCTTCTCGAGCACAGGTCGCGCCTCCTGCAACTGTTGCAGTTCCATGACCAAACCGTCACGTTGCAGGCTCAAATCCTTGATCTGCTCTTTCAGCGACAGCTCAAAGAACTTGAGGCGCTTCAGTTCCTCCTTCAGCACATTGGGACTGCTGCACTTCTCGTGGCTGCGGCATGATGCCTTGCTGGTGGACACCACGCTGTGCGTATCGAAGCTCTTGTTGGATGCCGTCGACGAGGTCTCACAATCGGCTATCTCTCCCTCTGACTGCGCCTGCTGTGGACTCTGCGATCGCTTGGGTTTGCTGATTGGCGCTGGTCCGGACGGCCCCGCATGTGCGGAAGATGATCCACTGTTGGTGGGCGACCCACCAGACGATGTGCTGTCAAACGGTGTGGTACTAAAGATGGACGTCTCCGAGGTGGTGAGGTTGTTTCTGTCGTTGGATAACGTTCAAACAAAGTTTGAGATCAATTTAAAATCTCCACATAGACAGTAAGAAAATATATATAACGTGCAGGTGGGTGCAAGTATTTTGCAGACTTATAGGATATATCTATACTTGATAATAGGTGTTGAGAATCGCATATTACTGAAGGATTCGAATATTTTCCCATTATAAACTATTTTTAAGGATCGGATTGTTATACACATATCGAACAATAAATCAATCATAGAATCCTAAAGCTATTTGGAAAATGTTCAAGACATGCTTCTGCTTCGGACTTCTTTAAGTTCATATCTTTTCAGCATTTTTTATTGCATTTTTGCTAGATCTGGAAATGATGCATTATGTATTCTATATCTTTCGCCAAGTCTTTCTTTATGGTAGAAGGGTAGGTATTGTGTTCAAAAGTAATCACAAAATAATGACCCCATACGCTATTACCAAAGCTTTGATATGTAAATAACTTTACAGTCGCTGGCCCTGGGAGTTAGTACTGCAAGATCTCATGTTCAAGCTAATTAAAAAAAAAAAATTGTACATTTTAAAACTTGAGAGTCGTCGGTCCTCGATAAATAAGAATTAAAACGAAACGAAACTGGCAAAAACTCTAAAAAGCCCCACAAGGAATAAACTTAGATTTAATATCATATGTAGTATATGTAGTATTAAATATAATATTATAAAATATAAAAAATATTTTATGACTTCAATAAAAATGGTACATTTATGCGCTAACTTTATATAAATAAAAGAATAGTTCCTAGAATCTGTGAATAATTCCTAATAAAATGAAAAATGTAAGCCCCCAACATAGCGTGACCCAACATTCGGCATTATAAATTATATTTATTGGACAAACACATATATTACGTACTAGTTTAGTTTAAGCTTAAATATTGGTTAAAATGAGGCATAAAACATATATACAGGATGAGGAAATGATGAGGATGCAAACAACAACCACAACAGAGGGGAACAGAACGTGAGACACACACAGAGAGAGAGAGAGAGTCATGGAATACTCACCGACTGGTCGCCTTGTGCGATGGTGAGCCACCACCAGCACCCAGCATATCGAGAGCACTGCCACCACCACTGGCCTCATCTGCTGGCCCGGCGGCTTGGCCAAACGTCTTGGCCGGCTCCTGGATGGTGCTCTGCAGCCAGAGATAGCTGATGGGTGAACTGGCCGGACTCTTGCCCGCATCGGCGCTCAGCTGGGCAATCGACTCCGAATTTAGTTCACAGGCACCGGTTAGGATCTCCACACTCTCGCCAAGGCGCTGCCGCAGATCCTCAATCTCGCATTGCAGCGAACCAATCTCCTCGGACTTCTCCTCCAGCATGCGCACGGTGCTCGAACGCAGCTGGGCGGCCTCCGCCTCCAGTTCGATGTACTGCTGCTCGAGCATGTCGCGCTCATCGATGGGCGAAAGGCGGCCATCCTTGCTGAACTGCTCCTCGTATTCGCGCACCTTCTCCATCAGTTCGGTGAACTTTTTGTCGCTCTCCTGCTGCTCATCCTCGTAGATCTGGCGCTCCTTCTCGAACATTTGACGCTCCTCGCCCAGCTTCGATTGCCAGTAATCCTCGCAATCCTCATAGGCGCGCTGCATCTGCTCCAGACTGCCCTCCAGCTCCTTGCAGCGGCTCTCTGGGGTGGCTACCGTGGCTGTGCCTGTGCCGGTGCCCGCCGCCTGCAATTGCTCCTCCAACTGTGCAATGCGCTGCTTCAGGCTGCTCAGCTCCTCATCGTGGCTCTTGCTACGCTGCAGCTCCGAGTTGAGGGCCAGCCAGTCGCCGCTGTTGCTGCTGCTATTATCGCTCAACTCGCCACCGCCACCGGAGCCATCGGTGCACTTGCGCTGCTTGCCCAAACGCGGACTCTCCTCGGTGATGTGCGTCTTGCTGGGTGAGTCGCCGCGTCGCTTTGTGGCCGCCACACCACTGGCCGCTGCCGCTGCTGCTGCCTCTGCTGAGTCTTGTTCCTGCTTCTTATTTCTGGTCTTGGTGCGCGTCAATTCCAGGCTCAGGCTCTCAATTTCGATGGTCAGCTCGTCAGTCTTATCGCGCAGCTGGGCGTTCTCCATTTGCAGGGCCGCCAATTTCTCCATCAGCTGCAGCATCTCTTCTTCCTCCGCCGCTGACTTGTCGACGCTGTCGCGCCGTGCACTATGGGGACTGTGCGCGGGACTGCTGCTGCTGCCATGCTGATGACGGCCGGACAGCTCGTTATTCAGCTTGATGTTCTGCTCGAGCAGATCAGTCATTTGCAGATGCGCCCTCTGCTGATCGGCCTCGAGTTCGGTGTTCTCGTTGCGCACCAGTTCCAGCTCCGTCTTCAGCTTAATCTCCTCCTGTTCGAGGCTCTTTAGCTGCGCCTCCAGCTTTCCCGTCATGGCCGTCCAATGGTCGCGATCGTTGCTCATACGCAGCGTCAGTTCCCGCACCATGCTGGCATGCCGCTGCTCCAGCTGTTGCACCTGCTGCTTGGAGTTATCCTCGAGCGTGGCATGCCGTTCGTCCACCTCGGCAGCGAGCAAAGCCACTCGCTGGTTGGCCGCCTTATTGTCGGAGCGCAGCTTCAGATTCTCCTCGTGCTGCTGCCGATAGGCGCGACGATAGTTGGCCAACTCGGACGACTGCAGGGCCACCAAGGCACGCAGCGTATTCGTGTGCGGATCCTGCTCCAGCGGACTGCGTGACTCTTCCTCCAGCACTTTGGTCAGCTGCATCAGGTTCACCTCCTCCTCATCAAAGCCCAGGGCATGCAGCAGGGCGCCACTGTTGACGATGTTGGCCTGATCCCAGGCATCGATAATGCTCTCCGCACTAATCATCTCCAGCTGCTGCGGCGTCACGATGTCTGCAATTCTCACGGCAATTAGCGATTCAGCAAACAATAATGATTAGATTATGCACGAGTCAGTCGTACAATATATAATATGTACACATTTATAGCCCAAGATACCAGGTGTGGGGGGAGTGGAAAAGGAAAAGGGAAAGGAAACGGGAACGGGTGTGGTGGGTGGTGGGTGGTGAGTGGTGATGGTGTAAGCGAAGGCGCCGAAAGTTTACTTGTTTTTTTACTTAACATCCAACAGTGGAAATAGTTTGGCATACAGAATAAATATAAATCTTTGCTAAGTGGCTGCTCAGGTTCTTCAAGGAAACATTCGGGAGTGGATTTGCTGTGCAAATTTCACATAAGCGAACGGACAATTTTGCTTCCAATGATATAGCGAACTAGGGAGCACTTAACACTAGCGATTCGGAATTTTTACGCTGAATTTTTACAAAAAAAAAAACCGAAATTAAACGGAAAATATAACTTAAATTAAACGGAACATGTAATTTTTCTTGCAGAATTTTTTTAGATGCAGCGAAAAATCTTTTTGGAAGCTAATATCCAACTGCAATGTGCAAGGAATCAAGTTGAAGGCATTCCAAAATTTAACGGAATACGAAATATACGGGAAAGCACTTTACTAAAGTTATTTTAGTTACTTTAATAACGATTTCGCAACTCTAACCTTTGCTCAAACAAAAACAATATGAACTATCATGCACACAACATGTATGCTGTTTTTTCTTGCTCGAAGCGCTTAGCTCTTTTCTCTTTTCTAGCATTTTTGTGAGTGTGTCGAGTATCAATGTGTGGCCTATGTGCCCACTAATTCAAATATAACTATCTATCTGTATTATCTGTACTATCCTAACTATCCACATTCATATATCTCTTTGCCAAATCAAATCCCCTGCGGAGTTTCAACTGTTTTTTCTTTGTTCTTTTTGGGTAATAGACAGGAGAAAGGTAAATATAATCTAGTACAAGGAACGAACGTATTTATGTGATTATACAACAATTAAACGGTGCGGGCTACATAGGGTGCGATTAGATACCGGATTTGTATGATTGGAATTGGAATTGGATGTGGAGAATGCTCCTCCTCTAGCGAGAGATATAGAGAGAGAGAGAGAGAGCGGCACAAACCTTTGCAGCAGAACAAACGTCCGCCGTGGTAGCATCTCCCGTGCTCATACGCCGGTGCGGTGGCAGTGGCAGTGGCAGGCAGGAGGTGGGTGCCTGCGGTGTGTACCAACAACAACAAGTAGTGTTTTTGCCTTTGCTTTAATCATAATTTCTGGGCATTTTGGGCTAACAAAAGTGACTGGGAACTGGCAGTTTACTGCCGGGGATTGGGATGGGGTTTGCTCTTTATCGTACTTACCCAGAGATTCGACGCTGCTGCTATTTTGCTGTTGGTGCTGATTCTGTTTGGCCAACTGTTTCAGCTTGCTGGCCGCCGTGGGCGATGTCACACCCGCTCCTGTGGCTGCACCACCCATTCGCGATTGCAGATTCTTGCGGGCGGGCAGCGAGGCGCAACGCTTCAGCTTGCTGCCGCTGGTATGGACGGAACGTAGTCGCCGGCTGCCTGGAAGATCGCTCTGTGAGGATGAACGTTGGACCTGCACAGAAGATGGTAGATTCGGATTAGAGCTGGGTAAGAGTTGAGTTTCAGCAACAAAAACGCCGCCGAAATCAGCAATTTCAAACAGGAACGAACACGTTCAGTCGTGCTTAAAGAAGGTTCTTCAAAGACAAATTTAAGTCTGGAAAAATGGCAGCTTTTCACCAAAAGAAAGTCAGTGCTGTGGCAGGATTTCTGCCATAATTTGCTCTTCCATTTGTTAGCCGCATCCATTTATAGCTCCACTTTTCACTCACGTATCACTGCTCAGACATAAGTTCCCTAGAAATCCATTAGAAATAATGACTAGGACCCACCTGTACACTCAGATCATCGCAGCCATTGAGACTCCTTTGCTGCTTCTGTTGCTGATCCTCATCCGTGTTGTCCGAGTCCGTCACGGACAGCTCATACAGTCCTCCACCACCCTGATGTGGCCTCGAGCGGCGTCCATATTTCTTGGTGCCCACAATCAGCTTGGGCGAGACCTCGCGATCCGAGGATTCCGGTGGACTTTCAATATATGTGCTGGCCAGTGGCTCATCGCTAATGACCAAAGAACGCTCTAAAATGAAAAGAAACACCAAGAAATTAATGAGAAACTAAAGCCAAAAGTTGTTGTGGCTGCTTGTCAAATTCTCTACCAAAGCGTGCGGCTAATTTTTCAATTATTGGATCTGTGATTTGACCGCCAGCGCGGCGATAGTAGAAGCGCGTTCCCATTTTCAACAAGGACTAATGTGTTTGCCAGCCAGAGAGCTGCTCTTATATGTCAGAGTCGGCTACCTGAGGCATCCTGTGGCGAACGATCAGGTAGGTTATAACCCAGCCGCTAATCATAAAAAGTGGCGATTACATAGATCGGTTTTATGATCGCGACCATTCCACCAGCTGCTCGCCCGCTCGCTAATCCGCGAACCAAATACCCAAACAGATTATTCTCTTACCCATAAATCCCGGCGACGCTGTGCTGCTGTCGAATTCTGCGCCCAGAAAATGGAGCAGCGCCTCCTTGAATTGCCCGAAGGAAACACCCAACTTGGCGGGTGCCAGGCTGGTGATCAATGCCGCCCCCTGGTCACGTAGCTCCAGCAGCGAGCAGAGCTTCAGCAGCGAGGTCTCGTCCAGCAGGCCGCAGTGCGTCGTTTCGCAGCTCTGGAACATCTGATACAGTTTCTGTTCATACGGATCGGATGACACGGGACACGGGACACACGGGATCCATTGTCACGGGGGATGCGGATACGCGGGCGCCTGCAGTTTGTAGCCGTTTTTGGAAAATCTTGCGGTGAAATCGATAAAACGCTGCCGCTGCTTGCTGCTGCTGCTGCTATTGCGTTGCCGCTGCACCTGGGGGGGAATTCCACGGCCAGGGGTCGACAAAACTATAAGCGTAAGCGTAAGGGAAGATGGTGGTGGAGAAGGAGAGCAAACGCGTGTCTGGCTTTGGTGCGTGTGGGGGAGGGACAAGGGAACTCTACACTAAACTATGATATGCACTTTGAAACAAATAACATTAAACACAACACTTGAATGTTGCAGTATTTTGGCTTAGGCGATTGATTAAAAAAAAACAATAATATAATGCAGTAATAGCCGAGCACAGGGGCGCCTTCTGTCGGGCAGTAGCTAAAACATTCACGTAGGGATGGGACACTAGCTGGCATTCCTGTGACTGGCCCAACTATCGAAGTCAGAGCTATCGGACTGCAGAATATCAATTTATCATGCTAAATTTTAACTACAAAGTCTGACAAAATCAACTCTTTTATTATGATAACAATTATTTGTTGCTCCTAAATTTATTAAAAGATATAATAGCCAATGTTTATTGTTTTCTTTATAATATATCGACATTGATTGTCAATAACGATGTTTCTATCGCACCACCACTAACAAATTCCATGGGCAACAGAGTGACCGTTTACGGTATACTATATACTTTTCGGGATATTTTGACGGCACATCGAGTTCAAAGTATATTTACGGTATATCGGTATATAAGAATATATTTAATCTCCCACCTTTACCTTAATCTGAATGTGGAAGGCTCCGGAGCTCCGATAAATGGCAACTGCGAAGTAGCTCAGCTCCAATATCATACACATAACCTTAATTTTCTTCGGTATATTTACGGTATATTTTGAAAATTATAATGTATATTTTGGTATATTTCTGGGGGTCAGCTGGTACATTTTATCGGTAAGCCCACGGTCACACTGATTTGTAAGCTAAAAAAAAAAAAAAAATAAAAACGCAGAAATATTTTTGTGATCGTAGCCAAAAGGGCGAAAAACTGATGGAAATTAGGTGCAATAACCGCGTTCCAATGGCAAAACGCCATTAGGTTTTGTGTGCGACAAACGTTTTGCGTTGGAGTATTCGTATTCCGATAGCTCGGCCGATACCCCCTTGCATCCGGAGTGTGTTTCCTCTTCTGTTGATATAAATTTTTTGTTTTCATTACGAAACCTCGGTCTGCCCGCAGGCAGGACACCGACACCGACTCCGACTCCGATTGGGAGATCAGGATTCGGGCAACAACAGTAGGCACATTCTTATTGCAATGGCCATGCACTCGTATATGCGGACAGGCCCCAGCCAGAGTCAGACTCAAGCGAGTAGCCTGAGTCCCGACGAGATGAACGGCTTCCTCAAAGATAAGCAGGCGTGGGAGCATGCCATATCGCTGTACCAGGGACCGGATCCCCTCGATCATTGGTACAACTACATCTGCTGGTACGAGAACCATGCGCACAGCGATCCGGAGCTCAAATTCCGCGAGACCCTCGAGCGCTGTCTGACCGAGTACGAGCACAGCGACTACTACAGGCAGGACGCACGCATGGTGCGCCTGTGGCTGAAGTACATTGCCATGCAAACGGATCCGCTGCATTTCTATCAGGTGCTGTTCCAGCGTGGCACGGGGCGGCAAGTGGCCGCCTTTTATATTGGCTGGGCCAGCTACTATGAGTCGCGGGAGGAGTTCAAGGATGCCGAGGCTGTATTTAACCTGGCCTTCCAGGAGAAGGCCCAAAGCAATGCCGAGCTCCAACATGCGCACACAAAGTTTACCTATGCCCGATCATTGCATTATCAGCGGCAGCAACAGCAGCAGGCACAGCAGCAGGCACAACAGCCGCAACCAGATGCCTTGCAGCAGCTGGCCAACTACACACAACAGCTGCCGCAAAGTTATCCACCACGTCCACAGCCATATCAGCAGCCGCAACAGCCGCAGCACGCATCTGTTTATCAGCAGCAATATCCGCCACAACAGCCGCCGCCGCCACCGCCGGCTCATTCTCAGGAACAGGCGGCTGCCTATCAGACGCACTACCAGGATCAGCCGCGCTATGAACAGCAGCAGCAGCAGCAGCAGGTCCCACCTGCACCACCACCTGCCACAGCACAAATACCGCAGCAGCAGCAGCCAGCCAGAGTATGCGCCACAGGTTGGTATCAGCACTTATCCATATCTTTTGGGCCAAAGATTCTAATGTCAAAATGTTACTTTCAGGCGCACTTTCAACCACCAACACAGGAGCAGGCATTGCCACAGGAGACCCAGCCGCAGCAGCAACAAGCAGCGCACCAGCCAGAGCCACAGCCGCAACATAATGGCAATGGAAGTACCAGCAATGCGGAAGCTGAAACTCCATCGCCATCTCCTGCCAACTCTGAAGTAGCCGGACTACGTTTGCCGCGCAATTTCCATCCATATGGCCGGAATAATCATGAGACCTGGAAGCCAGCCCTAACGCTGGAGGAGCCCGACGATCCGTCGCGTGTTTGTCATTATGCCAAGCAGCTGGTATATCCGCCAGGCGCTGGCATCGAGTACAGTCCCGAGGAGATATTGGCCCGCAAATACAAACAGATGCTGGAGGGAAAGCAAAAGCCGACGGCGCAACAAGTGCAGCAGCAGCAGCAGCAGGAACAGCAGGAGCTGGATCAACAGGAGCAGCAGACACTTTATGATTCCTACGAGTCGGAGGCTTCGTACTACATGACTGCCGTGGATGGAGCGCTCTACGGACACAACAGAGGAGACACCAGTGCAGCGGCGGCAGAGAAGGTGGCCGTAGAGGATGCTGGGGAGATACCAGAAGAGGAGGAAGCCGACGATGATGAGGACGACGAAGGTGAGCAGGAGGGGGAGGAAGAGGAGGATACAGACTCCGATCAGGAGGCGGAGGAGGACGACGACGAGGAAGTGGATGAGGACAACCAGACTGAACGATACACCAATGGGGGCGTGCAGTTTAGTGCCCAGACAACCTTCGAACAGGAGAATCGCTCCATCAAGATCAAGTTCAAGAAGGAGCGCACACTGGAGAGCAGCAGCACGTACAGTGCCTACACCATTGAGAATATCTACCACCACCAGCAGCATCAGCAACAGCAAGAGCAGCAGCAGCATCAGCAACAGCAGCACCACCACCAGCAGCAGCAGCATCCACAGCAGCCGCATGTGCCGCTGGAACCACAGCCCGCCTGCTCTCCCATACCAGCGGCGACAGCCACAGCGAGCATACAGCGTCAGCGTAATGGCGGCCACCATTTCCATCCGTATCTGCTTGGCCAGACATCGACGCCCAAGAGCGAGGCGAACGGCTATCGTCGCGCGCGCACCAAGGTTAAGCGTAACAAATTCCAGCCGGATCTATGCAGCAACAGCAACTCTTCCTCGGCAGCGGATGTGGTGGGAGTGGCCGCCTCGGCCAATGCGGCATCGGCTGCTGTTGCTGCCGCTTCTGGTGCAGTGGATGCAGCCACTGCCTCGGCAAGTGCCGCCCTGCCCATACACAATGCTACCTTCAATGACAATGCCAACTTCTCCTTCTCGAGTGCCACTGGGCTGGACAACTCCAACAGTTCGCTGGCCCTGGCTGTGGATCGGCTACACTTTAGGGACACCTCGCAGGCGAATGCCACGGGCAACAAGACGCTGCAAACGCACAACAATAACAATTACAACACGAACAACAATGGCAACGCGACGACGGCACTGACGGACTTCTCCACATTCCAGGAGAACTCGTACTTTGCCACGCAACATGACACAGAGGCGCAGGAGCGTCGTCTATCGAAGGCTGTGGAGACCATAGCCCGGCATTTGGCCAAGGAGGCCATCGATCCGTTCAACAGTGAACTGTGTCGCGCCTTCCTAACCAAACTGAATTTCCCCGGCGACGATGATGATCATGCCAGCTACAAGATCGTACAAACGCCACTGCCAAAAATTTCCAATACGCGCACCCTGAACGTGCTCGAGGGTGTGCAGTTCAACATTGACAAGGAGGTGGGCCGTGGCTCGTACGGTTCGGTGTACAAGGCCACCGATTCGCGGACAGGCAATGTGGTGGCGCTCAAGTACCAGAAGCCGCCAAACACCTGGGAGATTTACATATGTGATCAGGTAAGGATAAAAGCAAAGCCATACCATTTATGGATCACTTAAATGCGGACTTTTATTTGTAGGTACTCAAACGCATTACGGAGCCGGAGGTGCTGCCGGGACTGATGGACATTTCAACGGCCATAATTGCGCCAAATGCCAGTCTGATAGCCACAGAATTCTCGCCCTTTGGCTCGCTGCTGGACATCAACAACAAGATACGCCAGGCCACCACGAAAGTGATGCACGAGTCGCTGGTCATGCATTTCTCGGCGCAAATATGCAACATTGTGGATCATTTGCATCGCCAGCACATCGTCCATGCGGACATCAAGCCGGATAACTTTCTGCTGATGCGTGTGCCCAGCGTGGACAGTCCGCTGCCCTCGCTGCGACTCATTGACTTTGGTTGTGCCATCGATATGTCGCTCTTTCCCGACGGCGAACACACAAAGTTCCGCAAGGTTGTGCAGACCGATGGCTTCACCTGCATCGAAATGCAGGAGGGGCGACCCTGGTCATACGAAACGGATCTCTTTTGCATTGCGGCCACCGTCCATGTGATGCTGTTCGGCGAGTATATGCAGCCGCAAAAGCGCGGCACCACCTGGGACATACGCCAGAAGCTGCCGCGCTACCTCAAGAAGCATGTCTGGTCGAAGTTCTTTGGCGAGCTGCTCAACATGCAGGCGGACAAGCTGCCCGCGTTGCGTGAGATGCGCGACATCATCGAGGAGGAGTGCTATCGCATGGACTCGGAGCTCCAGAAGCAGATACGCACTCTGTCCAACATACTGCATCGACGATAACCAAACATTCGCCGTTCCCAGCTATTATATTAGTTTCATTTTCATTTATCCTTCCCATGCCGGCCACCCCCTCAAGTCAATCTATGAAACACATGAAATAGGACCTACCCCAAAGCCAGTGGCAAATTGACTGTCCACTAAAAACATTTCCACAAACTGTTCAAAAAAAACCCTGAAAGCCCCGAGCTAAAAGTACTCCGGGCTATGGGGCCATTTCTGATCCACAATATTTCCTAAGTTTAAAGTGTAATAATAACCGTTTTTTATTTATTATTTCGATGCCAAAAACCAATCAAACGAACGCTAAACAAACAACATTCAGACTCTGTAAATATTTTAGCCACAAACTCTACAGACCAAAAGGACAAAAGACTTTTGAAATGAGTTTGTGAAACAAAACAACAAAAAAACAAAAACAAAAAACAATTGAATATAAAGTGTAATTTTTGTATATGTACAGCAAACCTCAACAAAGCGCAAAATGTATAAAGATTAAGAAGAAAAAAAAAACAAAAGAAAAACTAACTATAAAAAACGCCCCCCCACAATTATCAGATTGAATCGTTCGATCTACTGTACTATTGAGTAATATATAAAGAAACTTTAAATGATAGTAAATAAATTGACGAAATGTTAACACAAAAAAAAAAAAAATCCACAAATATTACTACAAGAAATGAAGGTGCTGATATGCAGGTTTATACCCTGCATGGAAATATAGCTATTGGTTCCGAAATAGGATAGATTGGGTGCAGCAGATGACAGCTGATTCCGCGACTTAAACGCTCTGCAGAAATCGGAAACGAAATTTAACGCCAATTGTCCCATGAGCAGGGGGCTGCCAAAGACCGAATTCCAACTGAGTTGGAATGGCAATCAGTGGATTCTGCTTTACATATTCCAGTTGGAGAGTTATGCCAACCCAATTTGTGGCCAGCCTCGAAAATGAATGTTTGAATTTCTTAATCAGAATCCCTTATGCATATATCCCTTGATATGTATATGCAAATCGATTCATTTTTCACAGGCGAAAACTAACGAATTGTTGACTGATTGGGTACACCATGCAAGCACCTGTACATATGTAGATAAATGTTTAATAAATAGAATTGTTCGTCGCTTTGTTTGTAAAAAGGCCTAGACCTTGAGACCATAGGTTATTTCTTTGGAGATTTTTGTTAGGTGAAAGCAACGATTATAAAGAAAAAGGGTCCGGCCAGTGCGACTCCTCGAAGCTGTAATGGTAGAGCGGGCGCCTGGCACTCGTAACCAGCAGGCAGAATACGGATCAAGTGGCTTAAGGAATTTGAGAGATGTGGATATGCTTCCCCGTAAGTGCTACAAAAATCAACCACTCACCACATAATTCATTTACAGCCTGCGTACATTCAGATATAATTATTTAAATGGGAATTTATTTTGGTTTTGTGTATAATTTCAGGATACAGGTATGCCAGGTACGTATTGTATTCACATCCTTCAGAATTATGACTGGAAATTGGCAAATGTTTGCGAAATGCAAAACCAGTTGCGGCACACCGGACAACGCTGCATTTCCAATAGCCCATCACCCAGATCGCGCAAAAATGTATTTACAGCCAGAAACTCCAAGCAGATCATACAGAACGAGTGAGTGCATGGCAATGCCATAGGATTCACTTTCGGACCCAAGCAAATTGGGCACGTTTCTCCTGCTCCATCGCTGCTCCCTGGCTCCGGCTCCGGCTTTGGCGGCAACTCAGCACCAGCTGGCATGTCGCTCTTTTTAGTCGCCATTTCGCTATGTCGATCACGACTGAAATCAAAACGTTTTTCGCTTATTTGTAACCTTTTTCTTTTGTAAAATTAATTTCTTACCGTTTCCAATGATTTCCTTGACAGCTGTGCAAAGGAATATTCCCGAAGGTAGAATGAAAGTTTAAAAAAGTGTTGCACAACGTCAATATTTGAAGGAGTATGGGGAAATTATTTTGATGCCTTAAGGCAAAGACTCTATAGAGTCTTTGCTTAAGGCCTGTTTAAACGGGACAGCTATATCCAGAGAGTGTCTCCTGTTTCATGAAAGCTTTTTTTTTTGCTTTTTAGATCGAAACCACAAGCTGGTCCGAACGTTGGGGGGTAGTGTACGCCATGCTACATGGTACTCCGTTTCTATGCAAGTGATAAAAATTACTCAGACACACTGACAGTCAGCACGCGTAAAAAAAACATCAATATATAAAGTGCCATGCAACATTTATTTATTCAACATAAGACATTTTCAACACTGAAGAAGATGCTTCTCGCCTCTCTTTCCTGGCAAAACGAACACTAACTTAGTGTTCGTTTTGACAGAAAATAAGATCCCACGCGGCTTTGGGGCTCTGTCCAGCGAACATTCAGTATGGGGTGTAGTTGGGTGCAGGAGGAGCCGGAGTTACATTCGCAACGACCTCCATGTTCAACATGGTAGATCTGGCCAGCTCGGAACGCTGCCTGGATGGACTTTGGACAAGGGCGAACGATTCCAAGCGGGCTTCAACATCAACGAGGGTCCTCTGACTCTGAGAAACATCGGCGGCGCCTTGGGTTCTGGGCAAACGCAGGCTGCAGACATTCCTTACCGCCAGTCCATGCTGACTATCCTGCTGGAGTCGACCTACCACGCATGAACTACATTACATGGTGGCTTCCTGCTGTAGCTCATCCGAATACAAAATATGGCCGATACCTCCCCTGGGCCACACGGATCGAACTCTCCAAATTAAAAACGAGCCCGGTGGTTCGCAGGGATCCCCAAAAGATCCAGATCTAGGAAAGATGAAGAGTCCAGCTAAAGAAAATGCTTTGAAAATGGTCCGCCGAAACGTGTTACCTTCTTAGACAGGTCATACTTACAGGCCATGTTGAGTGCGTGGAACGGGAAGAACTTCCCAGGGATTGGATCCGGAATCTGATTAATGTTCAGTTTTCGTCGCTCGGCTGCAGCTTGATTCAGTTGCAACTCCCGCCGCAGCCATTGCCCGTGGAGAGGCAGCCGCACGTTTTGTGAGGCATTTGCATCTCCTCGGACGAGGAACATCCTTCTCTGCCGCTGCTCTCCGCTTCCTACACTTGGGAGAAATCATTTATGTTTGGATGATTTTCTTTTAGTAAAAAATCAATTAGGGGCATAATCACACTCAAGGTCTACTTAGTCATTCAGCTGGAGGGCTTCGGGACTCACCTTCTCGTGTGGGAGCGGTTCTTCTGATTCTGGGATACATGTTGGCCATCGGCTTCTTTTCAATTAAAAGAGTCCGTTCCGCATAGCGCAGGGTGCTCGAGTCTCGGGCACATTGTATATTCAGTCGAACAACAGTTGGAAATCATCAGGGTGACGGCGCTCCTGGCCAGCAAGTCCTCCAGGAGAAAAGTCAGCCTGGACTGACGGTAGGGAATGTCTGCACCCCGCGTTGGGCCAGATCGCAAGGCGCTGGCCATGTTTCACATAGTCAAATGATCCCAGTTGATGTTGAGGACCTCCCTGAATCGTCCCGCACTGACCAAAGCTCATGCGCAACCTTGCGAGCCTGCCAGATGGACCAGGTTGCACATGGAGGTCGTCGCGGATGTAGCTCCGGTTTCTCCGGCAGCCAACTTCCCGGCCAGCATAATAATTTTGCACATGGCTTGGGTTCGCCACGCCAGGCGACTGCCCGCTAGCCAGAGCCCATAATCAGTTGATCCAGCTACCGCCCGGGCGGAGCTGTCCACCGCAACGGAGGTCTGATGGAATACGAATACAACACAATGCCATACGAATTAAAAAAGGATATAGAATCGGAGCTAAAACTTTTGTGAATTTGTGAATTAATTTTCTTACCGACTCCGACCGACTTGCCTGATAACTGTGCGACGAATTTTCTCGAAGTTAGAATGTTGAGTATAAAAAATGAAAAAAAAGTGTTGCAAAACGTCAACCCTTGGCGGCGTCTGTTGAAAATCTGTTCGAGCCGCGTTTTCACGCTATGCTACACTGTGCTGAATGACGCATATTCGTACTGCACTCGCAACAAGCAATAAGAATATTATCCAAGTATCAGTTTGTTTCAGTTCAGTTTGTGATGTCGCCCTTAAACATGCTTCTTATGTCAACAATTTTCCTGGGTATTTGCGTCCTGAAAATACTACGAAACAGGTAACACACATTTATGTGCTGGAATGCAAAATAAATTTCGTTTAAAAGCGTTTGTTTCCAGGCGTGATTCCAATACAATGCCGCGAAAGCGTAAGGCCAGCCGACAACCCGCTAAGGAGACCACAAAAAAGGCAAAAACTGTTAAGGAGACCCCCAAAAAGAATGCAGAAAAAGAAAAAGTAGGTGAAACCTGCCGAATTTGTTTGCTCGAGATGGAAGATCCTTATGAGTTGCCCTGCGGTCACTCCTTCTGCAAGGGTTGCATTCAAAAGACGTTTAAGGCGAGAAATGATGGATATGTTCAGAGCTGTCCAATGTGCCGGGCTGTATTTCACACCACTCTGTTCAAAACTAAAAAGCGTCAGCGACAGTAAATCCAGTCTTCAACATCAACACATAATTGACACTGTAATACATAATTCGCTCTGATGGAGTTTGTGATGCCCTCGCCACATACACATACATACTCGCTGAATCTTTCTGGGATGCACACAATACACAAAAATACTCGTACACAAAGAACTGTATACATATCTAATAAGAACCGAGACCAACTGGTTGCTGATTAGATGTTCAAATTAAAATTATTCAAATAAAAGCGAGCCTGAAGCCATAGCCTGAAGAATGGCTTTTGAGACTTCATATATATATACTGTGCTTTTTTTTTAGTAGAAAAAATAGATCTGCCAATACTGGCTAATGTCTGGCTGTCACGAGATAAACCGTCAGGTCCCAGCTCCTTCATCCACCTGTACCTTCGGCTACACCTTCAACATCCGTTTGCTTACTCATACAATGTTTCATCAATGTCCATCATCCATTACCAATTCCATTTTTGGATCACGTGTGTAGGAACGGACAGCCATTCAGCACAGTGTAGCATAGCGTGAAAACGCGGCTCGAACAGATTTTCAACAGACGCCGCCAAAGGTTGACGTTTTGCAACACTTTTTTTTTTCATTTTTTATACTCAACATTCTAACTTCGAGAAAATTCGTCGCACAGTTATCAGGCAAGTCGGTCGGAGTCGGTAAGAAAATTAATTCACAAAAGTTTTAGCTCCGATTCTATATCCTTTTTTAATTCGTATTGCATTGTGTTGTATTCGTATTCCATCAGACCTCCGTTGCGGTGGACAGCTCCGCCCGGGCGGTAGCTGGATCAACTGATTATGGGCTCTGGCTAGCGGGCAGTCGCCTGGCGTGGCGAACCCAAGCCATGTGCAAAATTATTATGCTGGCCGGGAAGTTGGCTGCCGGAGAAACCGGAGCTACATCCGCGACGACCTCCATGTGCAACCTGGTCCATCTGGCAGGCTCGCAAGGTTGCGCATGAGCTTTGGTCAGTGCGGGACGATTCAGGGAGGTCCTCAACATCAACTGGGATCATTTGACTATGTGAAACATGGCCAGCGCCTTGTGATCTGGACCAACGCGGGGTGCAGACATTCCCTACCGTCAGTCCAGGCTGCCTTTTCTCCTGGAGGACTTGTTGGCCAGGTCCGCCGTCACCCTGATGATTTCCAACTGTTGTTCGACTGAATATATAATGTGCCCGAGACTCGAGCACCCTGCGCTATGCGGAACGGACTCTTTAAATTGAAAAGAAGCCGATGGCCAACATGTATCCCAGAATCAGAAGAACCGCTCCCACACGAGAAGGTGAGTCCCGAAGCCCTCCAGCTGAATGACTAAGTAGACCTTGAGTGCGATTATGCCCCTAATTGATTTTTTACTAAAAGAAAATCATCCAAAAAAAATGATTTCTCCCAAGTCCCAAGTCGCCGTCCCAGGAGATGCAAATGCCACGGGCAATGGCTGCGGCGGGAGTTGCAACTGAATCAAGCTGCAGCCGAGCGACGAAAACTGAACATTAACATGATTCCGTGTTCAATCACTGGGAAGTTCTTCCCGTTCCACGCCCTCAACATGGCCTGTAAGTATGACCTGTCTAAGAAGGTAACACGTTTCGGCGGACCATTTTCAAAGCATTTTCTTTAGCTGGACTCTTCATCTTTCCTAGATCTGGATCTTTTGGGGATCCCTGCGAACCACCGGGCTCGTTTTTAATTTGGAGAGTTCGATCCGTGTGGCCCAGGGGAGGTATCGGCCATATTTTGTATTCGGATGAGCTACAGCAGGAAGCCACCAGGGTAATGTAGTTCATGCGTGGTAGGTCGACTCCAGCAGGATAGTCAGCATGGACTGGCGGTAAGGAATGTCTGCAGCCTGCGTTTGCCCAGAACCCAAGGCGCCGCCGATGTTTCTCAGAGTCAGAGGACCCTCGTTGATGTTGAAGCCCGCTTGGAATCGTTCGCCCTTGGCCAAAGTCCATCCAGGCAGCGTTCCGAGCTGGCCAGATCTACCATGTTGAACATGGAGGTCGTTGCGAATGTAACTCCGGCTCCTCCTGCACCCAACTACACCCAAGACTGAATGTTCGCTGGACAGAGCCCCAAAGCCGCGTGGGATCTTATTTTCTGTCAAAACGAACACTAAGTTAGTGTTCGTTTTTCCAGGAAAGAGAGGCGAGAAGCATCTTCTTCAGTGTTGAAAATGTCTTATGTTGAATAAATAAATGTTACATGGCACTTTATATATTGATGTTTTTTTTACGCGTGCTGACTGGCCAGGTGTCGTTCCATTTTGATTTTGTGGCTGGTCGCACCAACCTCGTATTTTGTTTCCCTGAAGTCTACTAGAATGTCACTGATGAAAGACAATTCCGGGAACCCTTGGTACGCCAGGCCATCTTCCGTAGCTGCATAACAGGATCAGGATAATAGCAAAAATCTTCCCTTCCTTCTCTTTGCGTAAGCAAATTTTGTGCAAAATTAGAATACCCGACACAATGCCTGCCTGTTGCCTGTTGTCTGTGTCTGTGCCCGACAATGGGTATGAAAAAGGAAAGCAGCTTTAACCCAATTTCATAAATCAAATGCCACAGCAAAACTCTGTGGGCTCTGTGGCAGGCAATTGTCAATTAAGTGGGGTGGCATGCAACAAGTAACAGCAGCAGCAGCAGCAGCAGCAACAACCACTGCAAACTGCAACAGAGCAGCGACAGCATCTAACTACGAGTGCAACAATGGTGCGCTTGACCCACTTTTCCTTTTTGCCAGGCAGAGCCAAACGGCAAACAATTTCCACCCAAGCGACTGGAAAAAGTTTTTGCAGCTAGCTTTTCATGCAGCACAGAGAAAGACAGAGCGAGAGAGTGAGAGAGAGAGAGAGAGATGCAACAGGCACACAAAGTCAAAGTCGACGCTTGCGCCGCTGTCGCTGTCGCTGGTTTGCCTGCTGCGCCTGTCGCTTGTTGCTTGTTGCATTTCGCCGTTGCTGTTGCCGTTGCACCGCACGTTGGCCAAGTGAAAGTAAAGTGGGACAAATGCAATTATTATTGCATCTAGTAACCGACTTAGAAGTCGTGGGGCAAGCTACATAGCGCCAAAAACTGCAGTTGGAAAGTTGCGCTGCTGCCACTGCCACAGCCACAGCCACAGCTTTTACACAATATTTTTATTTAATCAAATTGCAAAGAGAAAATTGCAGCAAATGCTGCCCCGGCCAACCAATGGCAATTGGCAAAAGAGAAAAACTTTCTATTTTTTGTGTGTCGGCTGCATTTCCACCGATTGCAGCTGCCACACACACACAAACACACACAAACACACACGGTGCACATTATGCATGTATTTGGCGGATTGTTTTGCATGCGATAAATTAATGAATGGTGTCCCAGTTCGGTGCTTTGGGCATTGAGTGACAAATGAAGTTGTCTTTCTCTCTATGTATCTATGTCTGTCTTTCTCTATATATGTATATGTTTTGGCTGTATGTGTGTGTGTGTGTGGCCGAGAGATGCCAAGCGAAGCGAATGACAATGCGGAGTTTATTAGATCACTGGGGCACCATCCACCATCCACTGGGACGACTACAGATCACAATCGCCCATCGAAAAGTGGGCTGAGCCCACAAACAAGCTAACAAAAAATAAATAAAATATAATTAGAAACACAGATACAGCGAAACAGAGAAAGAAGTTAATAGATCCAAGATAAATACTATCTTTGAGGGACACTTAATTTGTTTCTAATTAAAGGGGGTAACGGTATATACTATGTACACTGCGGAAAAAAGCTTACAATCCATGTGATTGCCGTGCAAAAATTTTAAAAAAATACGCTTGATTACAGAGTATCAACATATCATTAGAATCCCTTGAAAAGTATATTAAGAAATTAAGTAGAAAATTGGAAATTTTAAAGATTATATTATATTTTTAATTCAATTTAAATTTATTTATAAAAATTACAATCGTTACGTTCCGTGTCTGGTCTGTCTTTGGTCATCAAATAATATAAATTTTGTTCAGTGTACCCATTCTTAATCCCAGCCAAGGAGGGAAGTTTCTACAATTAGTTGTACTTAAATAGGTAAGTATTTATGCTGACAATTAATTTCGTCAAAATAGTATTTTTTATCCCATACTTGAATCATCAAAAATGTTCCATAAGTGTTCATTTTTTCGATATAAACAAAAACAATTATTTAATAAATCTAATTTTAAATTCTTCAGTTATTGTTGAATCTCTTCAAGTGTTTCAATATGTTTGAAGAAAGTTCAAAAAAGTTAAATTATAGAAATGTATAACAATTCCAATGCAGACATATCTTTGATTTTTATTTTTAAGTCTTAAATTTTAACACGCGCATTCTTTTATATATTTATATTTTTAATTAATTTATTTTTAGTGGCTTTTTATATAATTTTTAATAATTTTTTTGCACATTCCTCATGGCAAATCCTTCTATGATGACTCTTTCCCATCGCTTCCATTGATTGCATTTCCCAAAAGAACCTTAGTGAACTTGACGTCTGCACTTTAAATTAATGTCTGGGCCAAGAGCTGAAGACCCTGACTCATTCGGGAATTTAGGGTCGAACCAGTCGGTTAGTCATTCCAGTGACTAAGTGGAGTTCTGCCAGGGGTTCCTGTCCCTCCAGTCCTTTCCACACCACTCGCTCTCCGTGCCGTGTCTGCCCCCCCCTTGTCGTGTCAGTTGCAAAAGTTGTCCGATGGATGGCGAGGGTTTTTGCTAGGAAGGGAGACCGACCCTAGGCTCACCTAAATTGCAGTGTTGCAGTTGCAGCAGGCGGAATGCATCAGTGCGCACACATAGATACACACCCATACGCAGGCACCTCACCGATACATACATACACTCCCCTTGAATTTTGCACGTTGTTTGCCATTTGATTGTCATGACCAACTTTTCACTGGCGCGCTGGTTGCAGCTAGTTTCTCATGTTGCTGTTGCTGCTGCTGCTGCTGCTGCTTGTATCTCATGTTGCTGCTTGTGTCTCCTCTTACTGCTTGTTGCTGCCCCTTTTTTTTTTTTTGCTATTGTGGGCATGGCTCTGGCTCTGGCTAATATGCAACAACATGCAACCACTGCTTGCAAAT